AAAAATTATAAAATGTGTAAATGTATAAAATATAAGAAAAACATACATGATCTAAGTGAAAAAATATGCTAATTCTTGGATCGAAAGAAATATCAAAAAGATAACAATTATACCCTAGTTGAACTGTAGATTCAAAGCAATTCTAATAAATTCCACAGGTTTTCCATGGAAATGAAGAAATCAATTAAAATTCCATTCTTGGCAAAAGGCCAAGAATAATCAAAGCATTCCTAAACAACAACAAAAAAGCAAGGTGTCCTGTCCTACTAGATATCATCGTTTATTATTATAAGGTATTAAAACAGTGTGATCTCAAATTAAGGATCAATAAATAGACCACTAGAACTGAATATAGAACCAAAAACAAATCCTCACTTGTATGAAAACTTTTTTGCAGATCACTGGGGAAAGATTAGGCTGCTTGATAAATCACTGACATGATTAATTATCTGTGTGGGAGAAAATTGGATCCCTACCGTATACCATTCCCTAACGTCAGTTCTAAGTGGATTAACAGCTTTGATATGAAAGTCAACACACAGAATTTTAGAAGGCAATATAGGAGATATCTTTTTAGTATTTCAGGGCAGAAAAGAATTTGGGAAACATGACACAGAAAGTGCAAATTGCAAAGGAAACTATTGAGCAATTCACAACATAAAAACTGAAAACTTCAGTTCATCAGAAAATACCACAAGGGTAGTAAAATCCAAGCCCCCAATATTTGTATTGGAATACTTGTGATAAATAACCAAAAAGGATTAATTTTCATAATACATAAAGAATTTCTACAAGTCTAAAAGAAATTCTGCAAAAAGCATCAATAAGCATTTTATTAGTACAATAGAGAGAGATATAAATGCCTCATAATATTTGCAAAGATCCTCTGTTTTATTGAAAATCAGGGAAATGAAGTTTAAATCACAAAAAGATATTTCACATCCACCACGTGGGCTAAATATGTTACCAAGTATTGCTGATGATATGGATCGGTGGGAACTGCTGGTGGGAATGTAAATAGGAATAACACTTTGGAAAACGGTGAGGCATTATCTCACAAATACAAGAATGTTCATAACAGTATTTTCATAAAGGAAAACAACTATAATCAGCTCAAATGTCCTTCAACAGTGGAATAGATCAATTGTAATGTATTCAGGCAATGGAATACAGCACAGCAGTGAAAATGAATGACCCTCAGGAAATGCACCAACACAGGTGAATCTCAAACGCATAGTACCCAGAGAATGAAGCAAGGACAGAATGAATGCAGTATGAGTCCATCAGTATGAAGTTCAAAAGCAATATATTGTTTATAGATCTATCATAGGTGGTAAACCATTAAGAAAAGCACAGGATATGATAAATACAAAATTAGGGACAGTATGGAAAGGAGCTGCTCTGTAGGAGAGGTAAACAGGCTTCTAAGGAGCTGGTAATGTTCCACCAACTTGGTAGTGGGTACATGTGAGTGTATTTTATTATTTTTTAAAGCTATATATATGTATTTTATACAATTTCTCTATGTATAATATATTTCACAGTTAAAGTGTTTTAGATAATGAATTAGATCACCCTCAGGGGCGATCTAACTCTTTTGAATTTGAAATTTCATAAACTCCAGCCTTATCTGAAAAGTTAAATATCAACAGAACTACATGACAGACTCTAGGACTCTTGGGATGTGTTAATACCCTCATTTTACAAATGAGCTCCAGAGAGGTGAGGTAACTTTTGCAAGGTCACCCAGCACCTGAGTAAGAGAATAGGACCATGAACAAAGGTCTAGAAACCCGAGGAATAGTACGTTTTTCATTGACACCTGCCAGAGCTATGCACAATTTGCTTCAAACAGATCTAACTTAGCATGTTATACTATTAAACTATATAATCTGCTTTTTTAAATTGATTTATTTTGTTTGATTCATGTGTTTGTGTCACATCAATTCTATACTGTAAACCCTTTCCATGGCCTTTCCTGTTATTTGAACACCTGGCTCTGGTCAGCCTCAGAAGCATTGGCCGTGCTGGTCCAAGCTGCCTTCCATCTCCGGGCTCTGCACTGTATTTCCAGGAACCCCTGAGAGTCTTATCAACCTTTACGTCCTTTCTACCAAGAACTTCCTCCTTTAACTCCTTGGGGGAAATGGAGGAACGGATTGTTCCAAGTTTTCCTATGCTCTCCTGGATCACTCCACTGGGAGAGGTGGCTCTGGGGGTGGAGTTGGCAGGGGAGACAAAGCAGAGGAAAGAAGGGAAAAAACAGGAGCTGTTTCCAATGAGGTCGTAGGCCATGACCAACCGATTCCACAGCCGTGAAGTCAATTGCTCCACCACCTGCACACCCCAGAACAGCCTGTGCTCTGGCTTTGCCTGCTCTTGAGACCAGGCATTGTTTGATTTGAAGAAATGTCATGATGCTGATGGAAGCTGAACCCTTTCCCACCTCTCACCCACACCTCCACTATCTTTTCTGGGGTGGCCTCAGCAGCCACGAGCAATACTTTAAGCTGAGTTCAGAATGTTCAGGCATAAAGTAAACTTTAAAGGAAGCTCTGCTTCTAGACTCACAGCATGTCAGTTCTGCCAAAAAAGCTCAGCTTCTTCATTTTGCATCTAAGTGAACCAGAGGCCCTGGAGAAGAAAGAGCCAAGGTCACTGTCATCCGGAGACTTGGTGGCCAGGAGACCAGAGCCCAGGTGGTCTGATTCCCAGACCACCATGTCTCTCACTGTCGTGCACTATTTCCCTCAGTGCTGTGACCCCCAGAGCTGCCTCCTTCTGGCTCAGCCTGGCCCTTTAAGCCTCTGGCCCACAGAGGTGAACAAACATACTTACAAAATATTTCTGGCATTCACCTGGCAGTCTCTCCTATGTATTTTTAACCTGGCGCTTTTGCGGAACATCTTTCCCTATTAAAGATGGGGTGTTGTCACCTGGTTCCAGACTAGCTCCTTAGACTTGCAGGCTTGGAAACTATCTTGTTGGTTTCTCCACCACCACTCACTCTTCGGAAAGCTGACTCGTACTAACCGAGTCCTCAGGAAAGCGACCTGTGTGTACAAATTTACAGTACCTGTTTATTAATGTAGATAAGAGCTATAACTCTCTGTTGGACTAGTTCGTGGTGGCCCAGTCAGCTTGTCTCACAAAAGCAGTCTAGGTGGAAAGTCAAACCATCACACAACAGCACACAGCAGCCTCAGAACAGGGGGAGCTGGTCACAGGATTTTTTTTTTTTCTTGAGACAGAGTCTCACTTTGGTGAGTGCTTGGCGTCATAGCCAAGCAAACTCAAATTCTTGGGCTCAAGCAATTCTCTTGTCTCAGCCTCCCGAGTAACTGGGACTACAGATACCTGCCTGGCTATTTTTAGAGGCCACAGTGCCTGGCTATTTTTAGAGGCGGGGTCTCACTCTGGCTCAGGCTGGTCTTACACCTATGAGGTCAGGCAATCCACCCGCCTGGGCTTCCAAGTGCTGGGATGCAAGGCGTGAGCCACCATGCCCGGCCTTGGACACAGGATTTGAATGGGCTCTGCAGTGGCTTTCCTTTGCTTGCTAACCAGCCTCCTTCTGGGCTCACACACCCTTGCTCTAGCTGACCAATGCACTCAGCAGTAACTGCGGTTTTGGTGGCCTTGAGAGCCAGTCATTTCTTTGGAAGAAATTCTGCCTCTTTCTGCACTGCCTTTTATCTGTTGATTTATAACTCCTTACAGGAAATCTTCTTTCCTATATTTCTAAGTCCTTCAGTAGTAGATTTCATGTGATTCGGTCATTCAGATGCCTATAAATCCACTCATTCTTCTATTATCTGTCCTACATTTAATTTCTCTCTATTATCTACAAGGATCTCCCATGAGACCTTTTGAAATGCCTGATAAAATCACATTGCATCTCTATTCAAAAGTCATCAATGTAACTGATCATTTTTGCAGCTGTATAATAAGAATTATTGTATTTTCTCTACATTATTATATATGCTTAAGTACTTTTTTAAGTTTTTAAAAATATCCATGGCTTCTCAGTATTCTGCAAAGCCTAAACTTCTTCAGCTAGATTCAGGCTTTCCTTTAAAAGATCTGAATGACCTTTTCCTGTATTACTTCCCTCCATTTCCTGCAAACAACCGCCCCTACCCAAGCCTCTACACAAATATCATTGCAACTTCCGACCTCTGTGCTCTGGTTCATTTTGCTCCTTCAGTGTTCAGCTCAGATGCCACCTCCTCCAAAAACTTCTTCTGATCCTTTTTGACGGATGAGGCTTCCTTCTTTCACCCCACTTACAGCCCTTGCCTCCCGCGCCCACCTCAGGGCCTGTTACCCATGACCTTGCACAATTTATCTGTATGGTCTTTTCTCTGCAGGCAATTTTAACTTGTCAAAGTTCAGGGGTTGTATTTTATCATTCATGCCTGGAAATAGACTCACTCCTATGGCTATGGCAAGCACAGATTCTAGACTTCAAATCATCCATCCCCCTGCCATCCTCGGCTGTCTCCAGGTTGGAATTTGGAGCATATGGTCCCCTCACCGTTCATTCTTCACCTGGCACATAGTCATGCACATAGGAAGATTCTTTTATTATAGTCATGATCCCACCAGCTGTGCAGCAGTGTGTGAGCCACATGGCATTAAACTTTCACTTATGTATTGAGAGGATTGTACAGCATCAGTGATTTTCCATGTGCATCAGAATCAGCCACAGAAGTGTGTTCTAATGCAGATGCCTGAGCCCCAAGGAGTCTGATTCAGGCTCAGACATCTATAGAAGGCATCTTAAGAAGCTTTCAAAGTGATTCTGATAAAATGGTCTACAGGCCATACTTTCAGGAATACTAGTCCCCAAAGGCCTGGAAGGAAAGGTATGTGGCCAGCAGCTCTTCTCTGGCCACTCAGGACAAAGTCAGACACCAGCCTATCCCCCAGCGAGAACCTTGTGCTTACAGACCCTCCCTGGACTGAACTTGCCCTTGTTTCACTCCTTTTTCTCCTAGTGTGTGGCTGTGGCCTGGCCCAGTCAGGCTTCTTCTTCAAGAACCAAGAGTACATCTGCACCCAGGACTACCAGCAACTCTATGGCACCCGTTGTGACAGCTGCCGGGACTTCATCACAGGGGAGGTCATCTCTGCCCTGGGCCGCACCTACCACCCCAAATGCTTTGTGTGCAGCCTGTGCAGGTGAGCAGGAAGCCAGAGGGGCCGGGACCCTCTGCACAAGCCCCTAGAGAAGGGGAAGACATGGCCTTTCCCTGGTAGTTCTAGGGTTTTTCGGGCTTACACTTCACAGTTAGATTTCTAGAATCTCAGAGAGGTAGAAGGATCTGACAGGCCAGTGGTTTCAAACCTTTTAGCAGTTTGATCTTTTTTGTAAAATGCAATCTATTGCAAAACACCAGTTTGTCCTGTGATAAAGAGAGGGGGTTCAGATCCTAAACCCCCACACTCAGGCTCCCAATTCCACTCAAAAGACCTCCAAAGGAACCACTGAGTATTCTGGTCTCTCAGAACTCAATCTGCAAAGCACAGCTCTGGCCCGGCCTCCCACATCTTCAGGTACAGGTGGTAGGGGAATGTCTGCCCATAGCCTTCCTCATCTTCCTGGTGCCGCCTCATGCTGGTGGAGTGACCCTGGCAAGAGCCCACCTCTGTAAGCCTTGGTTTCTCCATCTGTAAAATGAGGGTCAAAATCTTCCAACTTCATTGAGTTTTCTTAAAGATTAGTGAGGGGATACATGGAAAGACCTCATGACCGGTATATGTGTCTGTGTTTATCATTCTTTTTATCATCATGATGATAATCATCTAACCTCTCTTAGGACATCTCCAAGGATGGGGAGGTCAGCACTACCGCTTTCATCCCCTCTCCAGCATCTCAATCACTTGTTAATTTAGCAAATGTGCATTAAGACTCCACTGTATATATGCCAAGCACCACATTAAGGAGATGGGAAAAAAATGGAGGAAACCTCAGCCCTGTTCACAAATACATTAAAATTTAATGGACATCTCAGATTAAATCATAAGTAAAGCATGATTAGAGTATATATATTTTTAAAGGGGAAAGAAATTTATAGATTAACTATTCTCCCCATAAAATAACTACTGGTTAGTTACCCGTTAGAGTAACTAATTAGAATTTATGATTGAGACTAATGGCAGATATGCAAGAAAATAGAAGCTGCCTACAGAATTTATTCATTCACCCATCTCTGAAAACCTAAGTCCTGAGAACCTAGAATCCCAGACCTATCGGAGGGTCCACAGAGGGTCCATGTGGTACAAGGTGTGGGTTTTGTTAAACCCCATAGAAACAAGGTGACTTCCCATAGTCATGTGTTTTTACCACGAGTTGGTGATGGGGCCATGAGGATGTAGGCTCCCCTGACCCCAGCACTCACTCCATCATACAATGTTGTCCATGCAAGGCCAGGGAAGCTACCTACGCTGGTGTTAGGGGTATGCTCATGTAGCAGGTAGCCTAATCTGCATGAGCAGATGCAGCTCAACAATGGGATTGACAATACTAAGGATTCTGTATACGGTTTATAGTTTAGCTGGGGAGATATGGCATCAAGAGTTTGAGACCCCTGGGCTGTGGAAACTGAACAAATCCAGAGGGGCAGAGGAAGAGGTTCTTTGTAGACTCACAAACTTCCTATGAGGAAGCAGGATTTTGAGAAAAGTCTGAATAGCAAACAGAAGAAATTTTGATAAATTTGGGAGCTGATTGAGTTCTTGACATATGGGGATAGGTTAAATTATGGTAGAAAAATCCTTCCAGGAAGAGGGAGCAACTCTTTGAGGAGCTAGTGATCTCTCCCTCTTACAGCTGAGAAATGTAAGCTCACATAAGAGTCATGATTTTTCCATTGTTAAAATCATACAAATAGCTCAACTGGGCTCCAGCTCTGGCCTCTAAGCCCTGGATCAAGTGGTTTAGTGGGCCTGGCACTGTGAATAGCATTTGAATTTGCCTGGTGTTCTAGAAGTCAGGCCATAGGTGCGACCCACGTGCTTTGAGCACATGTGTCAACAGGTCACAAATAGCCACAGAATCCCACAGAAGAGGAGGTGTAGAATTTCTCCCTCGAACCCCTTGCAGGAAGCCTTTCCCCATTGGAGACAAGGTGACCTTCAGCGGTAAAGAATGCGTGTGCCAGACGTGCTCCCAGTCCATGGCCAGCAGTAAGCCCATCAAGATCCGCGGACCCAGCCGTGAGTTCCCCCCACGGGCCTCCCTGTTCATGGGCACTGTCTACCTAGGCACCCCATCCCTGAACTGTCAACCACTCCCACAGGCCTGGAGGGAAGCAGAGGTGGGAGGTCCCACCCTGAGGACCCCTGAACCATGGCCCAGCTGGCATTTTGTCCTGGCTCATAACCTTCACAGGCACAACACAGGGAAGACAGGCTGCCAGCAATAAAAAGTGATGGCTGATGCCACACATTAGCCTCTCGGGTGGATTTCTTGTGGGACAAGCTGGGTCCTGATTTTATGTCTTAAGGGTGCCCTAAGAAAGCTGATCAAATGTTCTGTCACCAGTGGTTCTCAATTTTTACAAACCCTGGCTCAGCACCCATAGCATGGTGGTTACCGCACCAGCCACATACACCGAGGTCGGCAGGTTCAAACCCAGTCCAGCCAGCTGAAACAATGACAGCTGCAACAAAAAATAATAGTGTTGTGGCTGGCGCCTGTAGTCCCAGCTACTTGGGAGGCTGATGCAAGAGAATCACTTAAGCCCAAGAGTCTGAGGTTCCTGTGAGCTGTGATGCCACAGCACTCTACTGAGGGCGACATAGTCAAACTCCATCTCAAAAAAAAAAAATTTTTTTTTTTGTACAAACCCTACTAAGAAAGAATTTGCAGGCACGTCTTATAAAAGAGAAAGTATGGGGTGCCCTGGGGCAGATGACATGAGCCATGCTACTGTTTCTCACGGTGTTCCGTGGACCTCTGCGTCAGCTTCAATGTGGGGTTTGTAAAAATGCAGATTTCTGGGCTCACCTTGGACCTCTAGGGATGGAGCCTAGGAATTTACGTTCTTTGTAAGTTTGCTGGGTGATTTATTTGCTGTTCCTAAGATTGAGAACCACTGTGGAGGATGGGGAGGGCTCTACCATGCTAGGATGAATGTTATGTCTTATTCACATAATGAAATTTAGGGGAAAACTGAGAATGGAGAGCATACCTCAGAACAGTCATTCTAATTTATGGAATGTCCATTCCACCCAAGTGTGCCTAGTAATGAGATGTCTAAATCACTGTTCCCAGATGCCCTGTCAGGCTGCTGACTGCATACACCCCCCATACACACCCGCCCCTGGGTCCAGCAAGCCATACCAGGCTCCAGTGTTCTTTCATGTTATATGACACTCTCGCTGGCCTAATCAGAGAATCAATGAACACCCATTAGCCTCCCACACTGCATCACCGTGCAGGTGTGGGGGGCTGTGAGCCACGGCACCAGCAGACTCAGCATCCTGGGGCCACATCCGCCAGAGGGGGGAGCAGAGAACACCCTGAGTCAGCAGGGCTCAGCTCCCATGGGCTCCATTAGAGTCCGCCCCAATGTGGACAGCTGAGGAGAAAGAGAGTGAGAAGCCTCCCTCCCCTGCCCGCCCTTCCTTTCAGCCGAGGGATCTTTCCTGGAATGCACAGAGCCCCTCCTTCAGCGCCCTCCGTCATGCTCAAGAGCAGTTTGCTTCTCACACCAGGTTCCCATCTCAGAGTGAGTCGAAGCACATGCTATTATCCTTCACCACTCCTTGAAAGCATCATTCAGCATGACAGGAAGACCGAGATGCTGGATGTAGGACCAAGGCCCGGTGGCTGGTGCTGGGAGGGGCCCAGAGACCAGCGAGGCCAATACCACCGAGGCAGGAGAGAGGCAAGCCTGAGACGGAAAGCTGCCAACCCTCTGTGGGCTGCGGAGCAGTCACGTAGCCTTCCCGAGACACAGTTTATCCAGCCTTGGAAGACGGACTAAATTCTTACCTTCCTCACAGGAGTGTTGAGGAAAGCAAATGTATTCACACAGGAATCAAAGCAACGTAGAGTGCAGTGTGTGAAGTGCTCCATAAATACAGAGACAGTGAGGGATGATATTATTAGCATGGAGGTTTAATATAGAAAGCACACCCAAAAAAATGGCCTAAGAATAAGATTCCTGATTCTGGGCAGTGCCCGTGGCTCAAAGGAGTAGGGCACTGGCCCCATATGCTGGAGGTGGTGGGTTCAAACCCAGCCCCCCGGAC